CGACAGGGACAGCATCGTGGCGGGCACTGTGGTGCAGCAGGGTAGGCTGCGGCATCCCACATGGGAATTCCAGTTGGCCTTCCAGCTGCTCTGTTTCTGATCTAGTTTCCTCCTAATGCACCTGGGAGTGCAGCAGAAGATAGTCCAAGCACTTGGGACACGGCCCCCCATGTGAGAGAAGAGGATGGAGTTCTTGGCTCCTGGCTCTGGTCTGGCTCAGCCCTGGATGTTGCAGGAATTTGGGGAGTGAACCAGCAGATAAAGATCTGTCTGCCTTTCAAGCAAACAAATCTTAAAGAAACCAAAAAGGCAAAGTGTGGAACTAGGCTGCTGGACAAACCACAAGGAAACTCTATGTTCAATGGTAATGAACAGAGTGAGCTTTGGAAAGACTGGAGAAAACCTTTGATCATTCATGCAACACATTATTGAGCACCTTGTATGTAACAGGTAGCCTGCTATACTGTGCAGACAAGTGAAACACACAAGGTATTTCTCAACGTGCATGTAATATGTTAGTAAGAGACATGATAAAATACAAGGGAAGAGTGACTAATGATCTAAATAAACTAAAACAGGGTATGTGACTGACTTTAGATTGGAGGTGGGAGAAACCAGAGAAGGGCTCTGAAGAGCTAACATTTAACCTAGGCCTGAATGAGAGATAACCTGCCTGGTTCTCAAAGATTGGGCAAAGAATGTTCCAGTCACAAGGACTGACTGGCCGCAAATGCCCTAAGGCAGTAATGCACTGGGAGCATTCAGCAGATCCAACAAACTGAGGGTCGAAAATTTGGGGGAGGGAGGGGCTGGCACTGCGGCATAGTGGGTAAAGCTACTGCTTGCAGTGCTGGCATCCCATATGGGCACCAGTTCGAGACCCAGCTACTCCACTTCTGATCCAGCTCTCTGCTGTGGCCTGGGAAAGCAGTAGAAGATGGCCCAAGTCCTTGGGCCCCTGAACCCACGTGGGAGACCCGGAAGAAGCTCCTGGCTCCTGGCTTCTGGCTTCGGATCCGCACAGCTCCAGCCATTGCAGCCAACTGGGGAGTGAACCAGCAGATGGAAGACCTTTCTCTCTCTCTGACTCTCCTTCTCTATCTGTGTAGCTCTGACTTTCAAATAAATAATAAGTAAATCTTTTTAAAAAATATTGGGGGAAAAATTGTACAGTGCCAAGTATGTACAGATTTTTTTCTTGTCACCGTTAAGGGACTTAACCATCTATAGATTTGGGTATCTGCAGGGGGCCCTGGAACCAATCCCCTATGGACACCAAAGCATCAAGGTCCTGTTAACTTTAGGGTGCAAAGTATTTTTTTTGACTCACACTTGGTCTGTGGTGGTACCTGACCGCAATGGAGCAGGGTGGGGTAGGGGTGTCACTTTGCCAAAAAAAAGGACCAAGAAGCATAGGCCATTTTATGTGACTGACAGCCAACCAGTCATACCCACACTTCTAAATTCTCGAAACTCGGCATTTAGAGCTGCAATTCTTGGTTTCACTTCCCTGCAACGGCTACAAAACCGGACGATAAAACGACTGGCTATCTCTCTACGCTTAGACTGCCTATGTCCTGCAGGAAGCGAAGCTAGGGGGCGTGAGGACACTTGCAAGAGGAGGGGGCCTGGGGCTGCGCCACTGCATTCGGTCTTCAACATATCCAACTGTCCACCTACCCAGGCCGGGACCCAGGCTCAGTCTAGGTGAGGGGTGCGAGGGGGTAGTGGTGTTTTGTTCTCAGGCCCGAGACGGTCGCAACAGGTTGTCTGAACTGCAGCGGACCCTCAGCACTCGACTTCGCGTGACTCCTGACCACCGATTGCACACTGCCCATCCAAGCAGAGCAGGGCGCAGAAATGCACGCCCAGCACCCCGTCCACCACAGCCAGGAGGCGCCCAGCGCCCATCTCGCGCAGCCCTGCGGCCTCCCGCTGGGGACTAGAGGATTGGATCTCGCCCGGCGCCGCCCCCTCCGCAGGGGGAAGGGAAGGGCCCGCCAGTGCCCCGCATCTCTGCAACAACTCTTTCGCAAAGGCAGGAGCCGGGACTAGCACCCCGATTCTACAGTCCGCCAGGCCTACGGCCTCGGCGTCGCTGCCCAGCGCCGACCAGCCCTCCGGCTGCCCCAGCGCGCGAGGCCCCCCGCCCCGTTACCTTGTAGAAAGTGACGGTATCCAAGGGAAGGGCGCCCTTGGTGTGCAGGCCGCTACCGCCGTGAGGAGCGGAGAGGAGAAGGAGGCCCAAGAGAAGGGGAAGCAGCGGGCAGAGAGAAGTGGAGCGGGGCACGGAGGCGGCCATGACGCCTGAGGAGCAGAGCCAAAGGAAGGCGGCCGTAGCCGGGAACGCGAGGCGCCCGGCGTCACGTGACTAGGAAGGCGGCTCGCGCGCACGCGCGCCTGGTGCCCCAGGAGCGCTCACGCCGGCCTAGGGTGAGAGGGCGGGGCCGCGTGTCGGGCGGGGAAACCTGCGGCTTCCGCGCAAGCGCGCTCGGCGAAACTGGGTCGGGCCGTGGCGCGAGCCGCGGGCCACGTGAGAGAGGCGGGAGGGAGCGGGAGGGAGCGGGAGGAGGGGGAGCGCTTGGGCCCTGCTGCGCACGCGCGCTCAGGGAGCGAGGCTCGCTGCGGGCCCGCCCTGGTCGCGTCGTGCTGCGCGTGAGGAGAGGTGCGAAGCCCGCGTGTGGCGTCGCGGCGGCAAGCTCCTTGCTCTTCTGACACCCTTTTGAAGATGACGAGGCCAGCGCTCGTTTCTTCCCGCCTTCGGCCCGTCAGAGGGTGGGTTAGGACCCGCCCGTACCCTCAGCGGGGCATTAGGGGCCGCTTCCCGCCAACGAGACTGGGCCGCGGCCCGGCCCACTCAGGCCTCCTGGGACGTAAACGCCTCCCCGTGGAGGCTCATGGGGAAAGCGCATTTCTGAACGCTCCGGAAAGACTAAAATAATAAAAAGACTAAAATAATGTTTAGGTATCCTGATAATTGTATCTGAAAGGGATTTGCTCTGTCCATGGTTTGGATTCTCCATTTCCTCGCGGGACTAGGGAGATAAACAAGATGGAGTTCTGGGGCGCGGTGGGGTGAGCTCATAGGATTCATAATACAGAACCCGTTCCGTGGCGTCGGCATAAAATGGGACTGAGTAGAGACTTGGGAAAACACGGAGACTGGGTGGTGTGAACTGGTGCAGGCGCGAGGGGCCACGGCAGCCACCGTGCTGAATGTAAAAATTGGACGCTGTCACGCCGGGAGTGCGGCCCTGTCTGCCTTGGCACGCTTTGCCGTTGGGCGTCTCCTCCCAGCTCCTCAGTGTGGCTCATCTAGAGGCCTCTATGCACTTTTCCCCCTGGTGCCCACCTGCCCGGCTGCCACGCATTACGTCATCATGGAGATTACACCCCAGTGACCACCTCGCAGTGACAGCATGACCTCCTGGAACTCGTGCTTGCTTGCTTTAAACTCACCAGTTAAAAAACCCCGCAGGACATCTGTGTATGGACGATGTCCTGGACTCAACAGCCACCTTGGCCCATGAACTTGCTGCTCTGTCCCTGCCTGTGCCCTCTGTATGGTCTCCGGGTGTGCTCTGTGCCACTTCCCACTGCAGGACCTGTGAGTATGAAAATCTTTATTTTCATCTTGTGTCTCTCCTCATCATTGAAGGGATGCTTTCTGTCTTGTAGATTCTAAATTAAGACAAGTCGGTGGTGCTCAGGAGTGCCAGGGGGAGCCACAGACAGGAGCTGATGTCTGACCTGGATCTGAAGGATAAGAGAGATTTATAAGGCAACAGGAAATTGTATTTCTAGCCAGGGCAAAAGCATGCACAGCTGTCTTGGGAAAATGTTGAGAGGAATCTGTAACAATAAATTAGTTGAGAGTCTGAAGGGTCTCACCATGTAACAGGTTTGGGACCACCAGAGGTTAATAGTCAGGTTAGAGAATAATGATGTAATTGAGATGGGCCCTGCGCTGTGGCATAGCGGGTAAAGCTGCCACCTGCAGTGCCAGCATCCCATATGGGCGCCAGTTCGAGACCTGGCTGCTCCTCTTCCGATCCAGCTCTCTGCTATGGCCTGAGAAAGCAGTGGAAGATGGCCCAAGTCTTTGGACCCCTGTATCCATGTGGGAGTCCTGGAAGAAGCTCCTGGCTCCTGGCTTCAGATCGGCGCAGCTCCGGCCATTGCGGCCAATTGGGGTGCGAACCAGCAGATGGAAGACCTCTCTCTCGGTCTCCTCTCTGTGTAACTCTGACTTTCAAGTAAAATAAATAAATCTTAAAAAAAAAAAAAAAAAAGAGGCCGGCGCCCCAGCTCACTAGGCTAATCCTCCGCCTGTGGCGCCAGCACACCGGGTTCTAGTCCCGCTCGGGGTGCCAGATTCTGTCCCAGTTGCCCCTCTTCCAGGCCAGCTCTCTGCTGTGGCCCGGGAGTGCAGTGGAGGATGGCCCAAGTGCTTGGGCCCTGCTCCCGCGTGGGAGACCAGAAGCACCTGTCTCCTGGCTTCGGATGAACAAGGTGTGCTGGCCTCAGTGCGCCGGCCACGGCGGCCATTGGAGGGTGAACCAACGGCAAAGGAAGACCTTTCTCTCTGTCTCTCTCACTGTCCACTCTGCCTGTCAAAAAACAACAACAAAAACAAAACAAAAAACAAAAAAACAAAAACAAAACTAAACAAAAAAACAAAGAAATTGAGAAGCTTAAGTAGAATTGAATTTACAAACTTGCTTGTCAAATAAATGTGAGGGTAAGAATGTCATTTATATACTGCATTCTATGGGACTTACCACCATAATTAACCAATGTTTGTGTTCAATAATTGTCTGCATACACACACACAGACACACACACACACAGGATACTTCAAAAGGTTTGTAGAAAATGGAATTAAAATATGTTTATTTTGGTACAAAAAATCTGATATCTAAGTATAGCTTTTTTTTTTTCTCTTTTTTTAAAGATCTTATTTATTGGGCCGGCGCTGCAGCTCACTAGGTTAATCCTCCGCCTAGCGGCGCCGGCACACCGGGTTCTAGTCCCGGTCAGGGCGCCGTATTCTGTCCCGGTTGCCCCTCTTCCAGGCCAGCCCTCTGCTGTGGCCAGGGAGTGCAGTGGAGGATGGCCCAGGTGCTTGGGCCCTGCACCCCATGGGAGACCAGGAGAAGTACCTGGCTCCTGGCTCCTGCCATCGGATCAGAGCGGTGCGCCGGCCGCAGTGCGCCAGCCGCGGCGGCCATTGGAGGGTGAACCAACAGCAAAGGAAGACCTTTCTCTCTGTCTCTCTCTCTCACTGTCCACTCTGCCTGTCAAAAAAAAAAAAAAAAAAGATCTTATTTATTTATCTGAGAGGTAGAGTTACAGACAGTGAGAAGGAGAGAGAGACAAAGAAAGGTCTTCCATTCACTTGTTCACTCCCCAGATGGCCACAATGACTAGAGCTGAGCTGTTCCGAGGCAGGAGCCAGGAGCTTTCTCTGGGTCTCCCACATGGATGCAGGGGCCCAAGGACTTGGGCCATCTTCTACTGCTTTCCCAGGCTGTAAGCAGAGAGCTGGATCGGAAGAGGAGCAGCTGGGACACGAACCAGCACCTTTATGGGATGCTGCGCCAAAGGCAGAAGCTTAGCTTACTAATAACACCAGCCCCTCATAGCTTTTTCATAATAGGCGTTTTCTATGAGCCTTTGAAGTCCCTGTTATGGATGAATGTCAGAACTTTTTTGTGAGGGTGCCGCCAATGTGGTGTAGCAAATAAACCCTGTGACGCTAGCATTCCATATGAGTGCCAGTTCATGTCCCAGCTGTTCCACTTCTGATCCAACTCCCTGCTAATGGAGTTAGCAGGGAAAGCAGTGGAAGATGACCCAAGTGTTTGGGCCCCTGCCACCCTTATGGGAGACCTGGATAAAGCTCCTGGCTCCTGGCTTCAGCCTGGCCCAGTGCAAGCTTTTCTGGCCATTCGGGGAGTGAACCAGAGGATGGAAGATCTTCCCTCTCTGTGTCTCTCCCTCTCTGTAACTCTTTCACATAAAAATAAATAAATCTTAAAAAAATTTTTTTGCATATATGAGGCAGGCATTGTGGCACAGCAGGTTAAACTGCCACTTGAAACATGTATGTCCCATATTGGAGTGCTGGTTTGAGTTCTGCCTACTCAAATTCTAATCCAGCTCCCTGCTAATGCACCTGGGAAGCAGCAGATGATTTAAATACTTAGTCTCTGCCACCCATGAAGAGACCAGGAAATAGTTTCTAGCTCCTGGCTTTGGCCTCGCCTGGCCCTAGCTGTTGAAGCCAGTTGGGAAGTAAACTAGAAGATAAAAGATTCTCTCTCTTTCTCTCTCTCTCTCTCTCTCTGTCTCTCTGTCTCTGTCTCTTCCTCGCTCTGTCACTCTGCCTTTTTTTTTTTTTAATTAATTTATTTATTTGAAAGGCAGAGAAAGAGAGGTCTTTCAACCACTGATTCACAGCCAAATTGGCCGCAACAGCAGGAACTGCACATATCCGAAGCCAGGAGCCGGGAGCCAGGAGCCTCTTCTGGGCCCCCGAAGTGGGTGCAGAGGCCTAAGCACTCAGGCCATCTTCTACTGCTTTCCTAGGCCACAGCAGGGAGCTGGAAGGGGAGCAGCCGGAACTCAAACCAGCACCCACAAGGGATGCCAGCACTGCAGGTGGCAGCTTTACTCGCTATGACACAGCACCAGCCCCCTGCTCTCTTTCAAATAAATAAATCTTTAAAAATATTTCTTTGCATATATATGTATGTATAAATGAAATAGTCATCAAAGATAACAGGATCCAGTCTTATACAACCAGATTCTTTGGTAAGAAATATTGCAAGAAAGAGTCCAGTTTGTGTTTGTATGTATGTGATTTGGGGGGACAGTTCAGAAAAATTTGAATTTGCATTACAAATTTTTTTAAAGATTTATTTATTTATTTGATAGGCAGAGTTACAGAGAAGCAGAGGCGGAGAGAGAGATAGAGAGGTGTCTTCCATCTGCTGGTTCCTCCCCAGATGACTGCAACAGTCAGAACTGTGCCGATTTGAAGCCAGGAGCTACTTCTAGGTCTCCCATGTGGGTACAGGGGCCCAAGTTCTTGGGCCATCTTCTTCTTCTTCTTCTTCTTCTTTTTTTAAGATATATTTATTTACTTGAAAGTCAGAGTTACACACAGAGAGAAGGAGAGGCAGAGAGAGAGAGAGTTCCATCCTCTGGTTTACTCCCTAGATGGCCGCAATGGCCAGAGCCACATCAGTCTGAAACTAGGAGCCAGGAAGCTTCTTCCGGGTCTCCCACTTGGGTGCAGGGACCCAAGGACTTGGGCCATCTTCCACTGCTTTCCCAGGCCATAGCAGAGAGCTGGTGGCGGCCTTACCCGTTACACCACAGTGCCAGCTCCGTTCGACTTATCCTTATTAAAGTATAAAAATATTTTAGTCATTGGGGCCAGCTGTGGCGCAGTGCGTTAATGCCCTGGCCTGAAGCGCCAGCATCCCATATGGGCACCGGTTCGAGACCCAGCTACTCCACATCCTCTCCAGCTCTCTGCTGTGGCCTGGGAAAGCAGCAGAAGATGGCCCAAGTCCTTGGGCTCCTGTACCCGTGTGGGAGACCGGGAAGAAGCTCCTGGCTCCTGGCTTCAGATCGGTACAGTTCCGGCTGTTGCAGCCAATTGGGGAGTGAACCATCAGATGGAAGACTTCCCTCCCTCCCTCTCTCTCTCTCTCTCTCTCTTTCTGCTTCTCCTCTTTCTGTGTAACTCTTTCAGATAAATAAATCTTTAAAAAAATATTTAGATATCACCAGTTTTTCACAAATTTTTCTATTTTTACAAGAACTCCCAGATTTTGTCCAGTAGGGGTTAACGTGCAAGTTTTATCAAAATCCTGACCAAAAGTGGCGGATTTATTTGTAGTAGTCAGGTGCTCTCTTACAGTCTTTATCTTCAATTCCCTCTTACAATGTTTGTTTTATCCCTTTCATTCTGAATACTATTTTTTTCCATTAGAAAGGCAGAAACATGTTATCTATTAACGATTAACCACAAATTCCATCAATGGAGCATATTTTTCTTGTTTTTAATCCCAAACTTCACTTTTTTGCCAATAGCCTTATTGTGGTAAAATTCACATACCATATAATTCACCCCTTTCTAAGATTTATTTATTTTTATTTGAAAGGTAGAGTAGGCCGGTGCAGCAGCTCAATAGGCTAATCCTTCGCCTGCGGCGCCAGCACACCGGGTTCTGGTCCCAGTCGGGCGCCGGATTCTGTCCCGGTTGCCCCTCTTCCAGGCAGCTCTCTGCTGTGGCCCGGGAGTGCAGTGGAGGATGGCCCAAGTGCTTGGGCCCTGCACCCCATGGGAGACCAGGAGAAGCACCTGGCTCCTGCCTTCGGATCAGCGCGGTGCGCCGGCCGCAGCGCACCGGCTGCTGCGGCCATTGGAGGGTGAACCAACGGCAAAGGAAGACCTTTCTCTCTCTCTCACTGTCTACTCTGCCTGTAAAAAAAAAAAAAAAAAAAAGAAGAAGAAGAAGAAGAAGAAGAAGAAAGGTAGAGTAAAAGAGAGGTATATCTTCCAGGAGCCAGGAACTCCATTCAGTTCTCCTC